TCTGGTCACCGTGGGCTCTAAATACCACGAACGTCATTACGATTTGGGCATGGATGCTCTGGTCACCGTGGGCTCTAAATACTACGAACGTCATTATGGTTTAAGCATGGATGCTCTGGTCACCGTAGGCTCTCGAAACTACGACGGACATTATGGTTTGGGCATGGATGCTCTGGTCACCGGATGCACGGCATGGTTTGGCCATGGACGAAGTCCAGATACATATATAGCTTAAATCAGGTCACGAGCCATACAACGCCCAAGTAAACCCTAAAAATTTGAAATAAAGACGAAAATCTAAAAAATGATTAAAGACGCCACGGCGTGCTATGACCCGTTGACCAACTACTATAGTATATTGGGGTTATATACTGGGGTTATATAGGGAGAATGGAAAATAGGATGGGAACTACTGTGTGGGGTCCAGGGTTTGGGGTCTAGTTTTCTTTTGCACGGTATAACAGCAGAACCCGAAACCCTAAACCTTGAGCCCCACACCCTGAAGTGTTAATCCGAGACTTGAAGCATATTATCCGGATCCAATGCCTTGCATGACAAACCTTGAATCCAAACGTGCTGATCTTAAGAGTCAAAACCCCAGGCTTCCCATATGAACCATAACCTACATGTCTTAAAGGGAGGTTATACAAGGGATTATATCGAGGACTGCTATAGGTATAATTAAGGGGGATACTAGGAACTTAGATTATAGCTCATATATCTTTGTATGCTCTTCAAAGTGTCATCCTAAATTTAACTTTGTCCATCCCTCTATGGTTTCTTCCAGAAATATGAGACCCCTATATCGACCCTAAGGTGTTAGCATTCGGACTATAGGGACCCCCAAAAGGTTCCCCCCATTCTGGGAAATTCCCGTATGTCCTTCAAAGCCCTACACCCTAAACCCTAAACGCTCGCAGAGAGCCCAATACCCCTTAATTAAGGTATATAGCTTAAATCATACTAGGGACCCTATTACCATTTAGGGTATATTCCTTGATTAAAGGGTATTGGGCTCTCCAGGTACAAACCCTAAACCCTAAATAGTAGTTACCATTATCCCTATATAACCCCAATATATAGTCCCAATATACTATAGTAGTTTGCATTTTCTTTTTCATTATCCCAAAAGAACCCCATATAACCTCACTGGGCTCCGTGCACTAATCCCTAAACCCAAAAAGGTGAAGACAGGCATCACGCCAGGACTCTCCGGTTGCGATGCGCAGTTAATGCCCTCCTGCGATGGGAAGGCAAGCAGTTAAGGGGCTCCTGGTTAAGCGGTTTAGGGGTTCAGGTGCGGTTTAGGGGCTTAGGGTTTAGGGTTTAGGATTTAGAGTTTAGGATTTAGTGTTTAGGGGTTTAGGGTTTAGGCGCAACAGTATCAGTATTACGGACAAAAAGGTGGAATTGTTTTGACCAAAGGGTCATGAGGGGATGTACTTCTAAATCATTCGGGCTTTACATTCCAGTGCCCCGAGTGAATTTTTTTCTGTTCTAGTTTCTCTCGTCTCATGGGCAATCCAAACCCACAACTCTAAATCCTAAACCCTAGACCCCAAAGTGTAAACCCCTGGCCCCTGAAGATCCCACGTGCCTTCAGCCCAACTGTGCAGGAAGTCGAAGAACTCATGACACGGGTGCTTGAACAGTGGAATGGTCGTCTGGCAGGGGAAGGCCAAGCCAAGTAGTCCAAAAAGCGGCGAGAAGAACCTAACTCTCAAGGAGCCAGGCGCTAAATCCCAAACTATATAACCCTAGATTATACCCCTATAGATAGTAGTTTCCAGTTTATTTTCCATTGCTCCTATATAACCCCTTTATAACCACATTGGAATCCCAAACATCCCTCGGCTGCCTCGGCTGCAAATCCTACAGACCCCGCAGAAGAAGTGCCAGCAGAATCCTGGACCTTAGCCCGAATTTAGGGTCTGGGTGGTATGTGTGTGCACGGCTGTTCAGGTTTCTAGATTAGAGCTCTTCATCGACCAGGACTTTGAAAGCCACAGCGATGTTTCCTTATGAGTATGAGAGTCGGTGGGATGGACCAAGCGCTTGTTTTTAGGACTCTTGTTGCTACTGCCCTTTCGTTTTCGGAAAATCTTCCGCAGTGTATCAAGGAATGTGCCATGAGTGTGCATTAGGATTTCGGTTCTCAGCTCCACTCGTGGAGTCTCACTACAACTTTTCATTCCAGCGGTGTTTGCATCATAGCTAGGGCCTAGCCGTTTAGCACTAAGATCTGTGGAGGTCCTAAAAATGCAAAGCCTAGCCTTAACCTTAAGCAGAAGAAACCCTCCACCCCCCAACCCTCCACCCTAGACCTCAAATCCCAAATCCTAAACCCTAAACCCTAAACTTACCCCCTAACCCTGAAACTTTTCTCATCCTACTAAAAAACGCAGCCTTGTTGGGGAAAGCCTGGCTCCGACATTTTGGCTCGATGACATTTTTCAGAGACTGCTCTCGGGGTTCCTGGGTTTAGGGTTTTAGGGTTTAGGGCCGTTTAGGGTTTAGGGTTTAGGGTTTAAGGTTTAGGGTTTAGGGTTTGGGCCTTAGCATAGAGGCCAGGTGCCTCAGTAGTACCCTTTTTCCCTTTGTATTTTGAGGTCTACCTTTCTAAGCTGCACGTTAAAACGGTACCCTCGTTATCAACCTTGCTGGGAGTTTCTGCAAAGTCGGGGGTCGTGTTTAGTGAGGACTACTATCATATCGTAGGCGAGGTTTTTTCAGGAGGACCGCTGTTGGGGGTTTTTCGGGGAGTTGCGGTTTCGGGTCTTCGGGACGCAAAAATGTCGAGCTTCCCACGCAAGGCTTATGCTCCCTAAACAAGACCTGTTCCGGGCCTTCCAAGAAGGTGACTTGCTTGTTGGGGCAAGCTTCAAAAGCCCCTATAGCCCGAGAAAGCGGTAGACTTGGTGGTATGGCGCGGATCTTGTGTCATTATTTGGCATTTGACCAATTGTTTTCAAGATTTTTAAGTAGATGCTTAGGGTGAACCCTCGGGCTGTCGGAGCCTGTTAAGGGGCAGTAGTATCTATACGGGTATCCTGGCTGCCTTTAGCCTGGTTTAGGAGTTTAACATGTTGACTTGCCCACATATCACAGTAATTTGGGAGGCTAAAAGTCTATCTAAAAGGGTTTTTAACAGTCAGTTAAGCCATGAGGTACATATTGATCTGGTGGGACGTTTTGGGTGCTACTTTCCATCCTCTGCTTATTGAATGCAGGGCATGGTTCCTTGCTTCCTTGCTGTAACCCTGAAGCTCCCTTTGCCAGCAATCCTTTTTAGGAAGCCATTCCGTGCTGACGGTAAAGGTCTGTTAATGATTATCAGTTCTTTCAGTATCATCTATAGGTTAAGGCGTTAGGATCTTGCTTCAAGGATGCGGGTTCAATGCTGGGGCCTAAAGAATTTCCATTGTTGTTGTCCGAAAAACAATTTCCTTGTTAATGTATGCTAAAGGAAACCTCCAGCAGACCTAAAGATGATGTTGTTAGTTATCCAGGCCCAAACACTAGCTGGATAGCTCATCAGTGCCACAGAAACTACCAATAAAGACTCAGTTACTTTGGTCCGGGGCTCATGACAGGGCTGGATGTTCGAATACGTGGTCCTGAATAATTATCATTATTCTGGTCCCGCATTCCTTGCAGACCATGAGACCTCAAATGGTATTGCTGCTTATGTAGGCCCCTTCTCAGCGTCGGCGAAGTCTTCAGTGTAGCATGCCGGAAAGGTTCTCAGAATTTCAGGTTAGGTCTAGTAGTAAGAAGTCTGTAGGTAAACGTCCTGGACTCTGAACTGACCTTGAATTCTAAACCAAGCAAGCACAAACTTTGGGGACAGAAGGGGCACTTGTGAGGGGGGATGGAGCGATCTACCCAGACGAGAAGTTTTGTGGGATCCTGCAGATGGCTAGTTTTGACCTGTCTCCGTTTTGGGCTTGGGTTTAGGGTTGGGAAGGTTTAGAGAGTACGGTGGGAGGCTGAACGCAAGCCTTAAATCCTGAAAGAATTCCGCCTAACCCCAAACCCCATACCTTTAGCCGTTTACCCTTGTTCCGTACATGTCATGATGAGCCTTGAAAACCCTAAACCACAAAACCCTAAACCCCAAACCTTGAGGGCGAGCCATGACTTTTTTCAGTTTGGCCATTGGCCGACCTCAGGATAGTCTTCCGGGGCAGAGATGTTAACTTGCTGGGGGTTAGTACTGAACAATAGGGTTCAGGGGGTTAAGGTTTCGGAGTCAAGGGTTTCGGGTTTAGGGTAGTGCATAGTAAGGGAATCAATCACACAGGGGCTATCCAGGGATTAAACTCCTTTATTCCCCACCACCCCCCAGCAAGACAAGGGGCAGGCTTAGCTAAGGGTTCGAGTCTGTCCTAAAGTGGGCCGTGGAACAAGTTAGCGGAAGACCGTCCAGCGTCATAGGGCGCTGGTGATGCACACGTAGCCTTGCCTGGAAAGCCTAGCAAGGTGCGAAGCTCCAACTCTTTGAAATCTTTGCAGCCCTATTCCCTCCTGTGAATTATTTGTATCTTTATCCCTTCCTGTGAATTATTTGTGGCCTCATTCCTTCCGGTGCATTGTTTGTATTCCCTCCTGTGAATTATTTGTATCCTTATTCCCTCCCGTGAATGATTTGTATCCTTCTTCCCTGCTGTATCCTCACTCTCTTCTGTGAATTATTTGTACCCTGATTCCCTCCTGTGACTTATTCGTATCCTCATTCTCTCCTGTGAATTATTTGTATCCTTATTCCCTCGTGTTCCGGCAGTCTTCCTTCTGGTATGAGAATGTTCTACAGTTGAATAGCCATTCCAAGATGGATCCCTTGTACACCTAATGTGGAGGGAGCAGTAGTTCGACCCATGCATGGAACGTATGAAGCGCGGGAGTATGCTCTCTGCGCTCAGAATTTCGGCATTAAAGTGGTGCCGGCTGGGGAGCCTGATTGGAAATCAGCTTTCCCATGGAGATGCTGAATAAGTTGCAGAATTTAGGGTTCGGAGTTTAAGCCCGCAACTGCTAGAGTTTGTAGGAAAGTCCTACACTCTACGTACTACAGACTAAACTCCTAACAGGGGCGTTACATAGGGAATTATCTAGGGGAGTAGTATAGGGTTTTTCAAGGGGGATACAAGGAGTTTAGGCTATGGCTTTATGGCTTAAATCCGATGTCAGGTTCCCGATGCAGTTGTCCATTTGTGAGTGCAGGCAGTATTTCTTTCGCAGTTTCCGACCAGCGGCTGGCCGTTGCCTGCGCAGAACCGAGCAAATCGCAAATGAGCCATTGTCTAAACTCCCTAAAGGAGGATACTTGCAGTTTAGACTAGCTGAAATGGAGATTCCACAAAATTCATTCTAGTATGGATGTCCTACTGCAATATGCGTCCCCATGTTACCATGTCGGGAATTGTAACGCAGCCCAGATGTTTGCTTCTACTTTCAACGGTCCCAAAATTGCTTAGTTATATGTACATATAAATATATAGGGTTGATATAGGGATTATATAGGGTTATATAGGGGGTATTCAAGTATTCTGGACATCCCAAAATACCCGGGCAAGCTGCAATGTTGGAACATCTGCAAGGATACTGCTATCAAATATCAATACAAAGCTAGGCTTTGTAGCTATGCCAGTGAAGACTACTGCTGGATGGGGGGCAGTATGCATAATGCCTAGCAGAGCCCCCCTGCAATTTCCAGAATTTCATGGGATCCTCTCATGGTGTTCAAAGCTCTTTCTTTGCAAGCCTAAACTCCAAATCCCAAACCCCTCACTTCTCAACCTGGCATTCGAGCGGGGCGCTGTTCTTCCTAATGCGACTGCGTAGAAGTTTGAGTAAGGCCCTAAACCCTAAACCCTTCCGGGTCTGGTATTCCCCAGTAGAGTCTAAGATGCTCTTATTTTGGTGGTTTGTTTATGTACGAAGAACGGAGCCTTATTGGAGTCAACCATCAACAGACGTTGTTCGCTTTACAGCCATGACTGCTTTTTTGTTCTCATTATCGGCTGGTTCCTTCCATGCCCTAAGCCCTAAGCCCTAAGCCTAAGCCCTAAACCCTAAACCCTAAACCCAATGCGATGCTCCTGCTTAGACAAGCTGTAGACCCTTAAGGAAAATGCTATGCCCTAGACCTGAAAAACTCACTAAAACCGCTGCGTTTCGGAGACGGCACATAAAGCCTGCCTGCTTCTTTATCATCTCCAGGCGAAAGCAGTGTCAAATCCTGCTGCTGGGTGTAGGTAGGCATTGCATTCGTCAGCAGTGATGTGGCTCCTACCCAGTAAGGCATTCAGAATGTCGAGACCGTTCTACATTTCGTGCATACAGACAGAATCCCAAACGTGAAACCTAGACGCTAAACCCTGGAACTACGATGACCGGAACCGGACTCAAGCGATGATAGACAATGCGAAGCACAGGGGCCTGTATAAGCACTTCCGCAAATTAGTTACATAAGGTTTCAGGTTTTTGGATGGAAATGGTTGCATGGAGCGTGTAGAGGGATTCTAGAGGGAGATGCAGGGTTTCAGTTTGGTGTGTTGTTGTTGGTACAAAAAATCCAAAGCAACCAACATCGCCTTTGTTTCATAAAAAACTGAAGGGTTTCAGGTGTTTCGTTATTGTTTATGCGGGGAGATTTCCGTGTACTCAGGCTCCTATCATAATGTTATTG